GCGGCCACGCAGCAAAGTGCGCGGGCGTGCAGTCAGCGTAGTTAGATAAGGTTTTCTCAGAGCTTTCGAAAGGCGCCGGTTTTGAAGACTTTACGTAAGTAGTCAAGAATCGGCTTCCGTTCTGGCCTCGTCCCTTTGATCACATATATGTCAGGATACGAGTGACCCAATGGTAAGACAAGCCCAATCAGCTCTCGCCTCTTATGTCTAAAACCTACAAAATTGAGGGGCAAGAAGTATATCGAATCGTTTACCTGAGACTAGAAGAAACGCCCATGAAATGATGCTGTGTCAAGTATCACATCCTGGCCACCCCTCACAACAAAGTCATCGCGTATAGGTCATGCTATATTATCCCCGTGGCATAACATTGACACATAAGGGGAGATACTAGCGTTGCATAAGATACCAGGTAGTATAACTGAGTTCGAATGATGCAACCAGGTTTGTCGAGTGCCTCAGGTATGCTACTGGTAGAGTCAGTGAATAGTTACCGAATAACGTTACAAATGTCTCTTCATCTCTCTTCTGATCAACGAACTTTTGCTGTGTAATACAAGTGGTTGAGTACTGTAACTAAGCTGCTCTAGGAAAGAAGTTTAGGCTAATTTGTTCCAGTCCCTGAGCTCCGCTCCTCATGGCCACTGTGAGAAGAGGTTGTATTGAGTATTTCGCCTCAACGTGGCGGGGAATGTTACCTTGAACAGCTCCATGGCACTTGCTCAACCACCGTCAGCGATTCCCAAAATAGTAGACTTTCCCTATCCGTCCCACCAGCAACACTGCTGGTTGGCGTTTTTCACATAGAACAACCAATAGGTCCATTGCTATAGCTACCCAATGTGGAATCTGGAGTCAAGCGTGGCCTCGGAGTATCCCATCCGCAAGGTCCTCTATGGGGTGGTCAGCAACTTGGAACTCAAGCCGCCAATTACTAATGATAGGGAGAGAAGGAGGAAGCACAGCCAAAATACGATAACTGCAGGACAGAGAGGAAACTTGTGAGTTGTCGGGTGAGATAAAAAAAAGTATAAAGCAAGCTAACTCTCCTGTGAACCTTTCCTCTCTGTCCTCCATCCCCGTTATCAAACTTCTCACACACACTCCGCAACCGCAACTCCAACTGCATTCATCCCTCAGCAACAATGAAGGTCACCGCAACCATCACCTGCCTTTTCGCAGCCGTCGCCATGGCTATCCCTGCCCCTGCCCCTGCTCCCGCTGGCGGTGTTGTCGACGCTCGCCACAACGAGGCCACGCTTGACAAGCGTGGATGTCCAGCCGGCTCCGCTTGCCAGAGCGGCCAGTGCTACTGGTCGTCTTGCAACTCATCCGGCTGGTGCTCGTGGAACCCCAGCGGTATCTCCTGCTGATCATGAAATATTGAACCGTGAGAAACCCTCGGTGTTCCAGCCGTCGGAAAGTAGCCTTAAAGCTGACCAAGAGGACAGCTGCCTCCCAGCTGCATTGCCTTGTCCGTTCAATTAGCTCGACATGGAATGTTGCTGGCAACAACTTGTCACACTTGGACGATGAGATACAAGACACAAAACACTGGGGAATGAAGTATTGGCCCATATCAGTTGATGTTCCACTCTTTGAGGGACTTGATGAGGATTCAACATCTGAGGACGGATAGAACTAGGGGTCAATGCCTTGTGCAGACCATGTTTACATTCCTTCAGTTCACAAGACATTACCTTAAGGCTATCGGAATGCTGTGCCCGAAGCTAGACCACATCCAGTTCCCCTTTCCTTCTCCCCCACTGTAGCTCCATGGCCTACGGCGCTATCACCCGTAACCACGGCTTGCTCAAGTCGGTAAAGAAGCTCGCCCCGCGCACCGTAGTCGGCGCCTCCGGCAGCGTCACATTGCAGTTCTGCACCCAGTTGCCTTGCGCCGCGTACTTGTCGGCAATGTACTGCTTGTAGTCGCTCAGGCGGCACGACGACCCAGGGCCGTTCCTGCACGAGGGCACTGGGTACACTGCGTCGTTGAGGCGGATGCGCACAAAAGTCTCGTTGCGTGTGACGCTGTTGAGGCTGTCACGGCGGAGTCGAGAAGACGTTGTCGGCTTCGGGCGGCAGACTTTCGTCGTGACGCAGTTGAGCCGTTCGAGAGCGATGGTCCCGCGCATGGTGGAGAAGCGGCTTGCCATGTACAGCCGGTTGTCGTCTCGCACGCTCGGGTCCAGCGGCGGCTCTTCGTCAAAGACACCGATCGCCGCCGCCATCTCGTTCAGCTGCCCGTCGTTCATGAAGGCCATGAGGAGCTTTGGGACGGCGAAAGAGCTGCCGTCGGCAGCGGTGCCGGTGATTTCGGGACCTCGAGCCAAGAGGCCGACGACACTGTCGACGAAGGGCATCATCAACTTCTTGTTGAGATCGGTACCGGGTCCGACGCCGTAGTAGTAACGGAGGTCGTTGTGGTACTCGTACGACTTCAGCTCGTCGTCGGTGAACACATCGCACCACGGCGAGAGCCGGCCAGTGATTTGTGACTCGAAGCCGCACAGATAGGGGATCTGGAGGATGTCGTCGTCCGTGAGAGTGAGGTTGCCCGTGATCATGGCCTGCAGTCGCTGCTTGATAGGAGGGAGGAAGATAGCGGTCCAGATGGCCTGCTGATCCGCCCCCGAAGTGTCTTTGAAGTTGGGGCACATGTCGGACGGGCCCAATGAGTCACCAACAGCATCAGGAAAGCCCTTCGCAGTCACCGAGACAACGCTGCCATATGTAGAGGCGAATGGTCCGAGGTACCCGCGGACAAACATCTGGGCCGTCTGCAGCACCCGCGTGTAGTTGTTTGCCCAAACCATGAACGGCTGGCCGTCGTTGTACAGGTCGGGATACCTGACGGTGTAAGTGGTACATAACATAGAAGAATTATGATCATTGTCATACCGAGTCCTCAGGGTGTAGCCCATGTCATAAGCCTCCTTAGCCCCTGTCGGGCTCTCCATGGCGATCTGCATGGAAGGGTTGGTAAGGACCGTTTTCCAGGTAGGCAGGAAAGAGAGACTGCCGGAGGCCGTGTAGCCGTTTTCAGGTGCAAACTAGAAAGGTCAGCTGCGTAGGAACAGGGAGGAAGCAAACGCAGGTGTGCTGGTGGCTCACCCTCTGCTGCATGGCCACCCAGCCGTTGTAGGCTCCGTTGTCTGGATACCTCGATCCGTGCCGGACCGCATATGCCGCTTGCTCGACGTAGCAGTTTTCAGGTACCTCATGGTCGATGCCGTTCACATTCGGCCCCGCGAACCAGGGGCTGTTAGCACCGAGCCACTGGAGAGGGCTGGTGGCCGACTCGCTTGGAGTGTCGATGAGGATGTCCTGGGGCGGGGCTAGCAGCCGCGAGCTAGCCATGACGGGGGCCACGGCAGCGAGGGACGCGGCATGGAACAGAAAGGACGACATCATGATGTTGTCGTGCTCAGCGAAGAGAAGACTAAACCGGAGTCAGCACGATAGGTGACAGGAGAGGTTGCGCTGTATAAGTATGTCAACCCCATCAATTTTCCTCACTATTTTCCGATGACCGCGTTGCCGCCAGCAGTCCATCGCTCTCTACCATGCCGAAAGGATCGCCACCGTAGGCGAGCGAACCGGTGACCCACTGGTTGTGGTATTCTTGCGGGACAGTAACCGTTGGGCTGAGACACGTGCCCCCAAGTTCCACCGTGGTTCGAGCTTCCGTAGCTCCTGTTTGCAAGGGCTCCATCTCGGTTGCTTATAAGATGTGACGTGCCCGGTGATTTCGGAGATTGAACCCCTGTTTAGGCCTAGTTCCCGTTCGGGCCGGGCGCCCACGTGGTTGCTAGCAGCGTCCTCCGGACCCCGGTCGATCCGCGGGCAGACCGGAGCCAGCACAGACTATAATCATCTCCATTTCGCCGTCCATCAGGTAGGTACCTTTAGGGTTACAGATCTCTTCAGCACCATGTTGTAGTCATAATCACACACTATGTAATCCGCAAATCCGCCTCTCCACTATGTTTAACCTCTTATACACACTAACACGGTAATCCTTTGCCAACGCCGGTGTCCTTGTGCGAGTGGGGACTCAGGTTGTCACTCTACGAGGAGCAATAGCTGTATAGGACCCTGAATTTATAGATTTACACCAATTGTCTTTCGCCTACAGGCAGGCTGACTGGAGGCAGGCTGCACATGTGGCAGGTGAGGAGGGCGAGCTCCTTGAACTGACGGGCAACCAGGACATCCAAGAAGGCTAGAACACGGTAGTGAACACGTTACACCAGAAACGGAGGAAGAAAAGAATATTCTCCCAAAACCTAATGTTAAGGAGGTATACAGATACTTAAGAAGATGACTTGTAACGCGACGGTAAACACCTGTAGAGGCGAGCCTAGGATGTTCACACACGAAGATACCTAGGTACCTGATACAGCACATCATCGTTCTCGTCGATCGTATATTTGCCGATCAATTATATCGTACCCTGAAGAGATTTGGGTTAATGTGCCTTGTAAGTTCCAAGCATCATCTCTAGATCTCGCAGCTTGGAGCCTGCTTGTCCTTGCCGAATACTCATGCACAGAGGTAGTGAACCGCCATGTTACCGTGTTGTAATCAGATCAGACTTGGAAAAAGTGGAAGGACGCCTTGCCTGCAGAGTTCGAAAACCGGGCAACGATGGAGTCTGAGACCCGGGAAAGACGGGAAAATCTGTTAACCAATTGCCTTGCCCCACCTGGTTCTGGCTGTCAATATCGAGAGCTACTAAGGAACCGCCTACCGGCCCGAGACCGTGATCGACTTCATGAAGATCTGCAACTCAATCAACAGAAACAGAACATGGATAGGTATCTATCCCATTGTCATTCGAGGGTATTGCATTCCAGGGCCAAATGCGTTCGATTCTGATGATCCTCTTCGCAATATTACGGCATGCCTCGCGAGGCATGGCAAGGGTAGCAAGTCGGCGTCGCGACAGTGCCTCGTCGGAGGGTCGTCCGATGACCGACAAGCGGTCTGCTTGCTTGTGTGGCCAGCCATCGACAATGACACATAGATCTGGCTCCCGGGCTGTCATCCCAACGCGAACTTCTGGTTCCGGGTAAATGGGGCGCAACCGACCCAGGAAACGGGTAAATGGTAAACTACCTATCACACGACTGTTTTTCATGGCTTCCCGTGCTTCCCGCGGTCGTGATGCATGCTTGCCGCACTTGCCGCATTAGTTAGCAATAGCTTCGCACTCATCCCGTGTCAAACCCAGGGACTCGGTGCCGAACTTGTCAAACTCTCCTAGCGTCGGCAGTGTAGGTGACAGGCGGGTGCCGTGGGCAAACGAGGGCTTGGACGCCCAAAAAGGTTCAAAACTTCCCGGTCCAAGCACTAGGGCTGCCACAGAGGGTTGCAGTGTGTCCGTCGATTAATCTATTTCCCGTGTCTTCCCGTCCAAGACCGTCGTAAGCAGCTCAGCTTGAAACACGACTGGCTGCCGGGACACCCGTCCGCAGTGTTAGGCGCCCAATTAAAAACCGCAGCTCAACTTCTAACATGATTGAGCGTGGCAAACTCGATGCATCGCGGGAAGCTCCCTCTGCCGATCATTACTCTTAATCACATGTGCTGCTCAGCTCTATGAATGTCGGGACCTGTAGCTTCACAGGCCAAAAATAGACCAGGCACAATGTTCCCGTCCCAAAGTCCTTGGCCGGACCTCGGAGGTGTCTGGTGGCCAGACGAGCGTACTGAGATTGGGAGTAAGTTCGGATGGAGTATCGTCAAGTTAACCGGATAACGCGGCCGTAGAGAACAATATTGTAGTTTACAACACATATCCAGGCAGGCCTTCACCTGAAGCCTTTGCGGTCTACATGGCTTCATGCTGTGGCGCCGTTATAGAGTCCCGAGAGCTGCACAGCCCGTAGGAGCGCATAACATGACCTCTTGTCACGTAGCATCATGGTCCAGATACGGTTGGGATCCGGGGATCAGTGGTGTAAACCACCCTCCCATTTTACCCCGCGCTGCACCCAAGTCTTGAAGTTCCCGTGCGAGAAAACCGACGTGGATTGTGGCGTCAGCCTCAAGAACCACCAACACCGGGTTCAGTCCGCATGGCGGCTCCCTGTGCCTGGTTCTCGCTTGCGTACCACACCCTCAGACCAGTCAGGAATCACGAACATTGATCTCAAGCCCTGTCATGTCCTGTCCGGCGCCCCGGAGATCCACACCTGCCGCGAAGTGCTCACCGAATTCGACATGGGCCAGACATGACGACAGGAGAGCTCACAACATGCCGGTCAAGCCCGAGCTGGATGCCGGGGATTGAGCCGTCCATAAGTCCGCATCGCCTCGTGCGGCCAAGACTGCGATGCTCGGAGCACGGAAGGATTGTTGCTGCGGACGCATGCGTGGAAAGTGATGGAGGCCTGATCGTGCTGAGAAGAACATGGCACCCGCATGCCGCGTCTCGAGGACGGCAAGAGCAGGGTGTCGAGAGCTTGGTGGTGTCATTGGATTTCATGAGGACAGTACTGCTCAGGAGCCGGTTCTTGACGTCTATATAAGCCCTGCTCTGCGTCCTAGCAACTAACGACTCTGTGATAGACTTTACTAACGACTGTATCTACTCCATCCTGCCCAGGCTATCACGTTCTTGCTCTCCAGTATGCGCTGGCTCCTGGATAAGCCAACAGCAGCCTGCTACGCTCTGTCGGTGCTGCTCCAGACTGCAGTGGCATCTCCAGTCCAGCCGAACCCAGTCATCGACCTCCTGCCCAGGCAGACCATTACCCCTGGCGGCAAGCCATGTGGTCAGAACAATGCCACCAACCGGGGATGCTGGAAGAACAACTGGAACATCAGCACGGACTATGAGTTTACTACTCCACCTGCCTTCAACACTCGGACGGTATGTCTGCATGACGCCCCTTTATGAACCAGACAAGGGCAAGAACTAACAGCCCTAGATTGATCTACACATTACCAATGTGACGAATTGGCTTGGCCCCGACGGCGTTCGAAAGCCGGCCATGCTCATCAATAGTGAGTTGATTACCTTGTTTGACTCGTCAACTTCATAATTCGTTGCTCACATACACCAGATCAGTTCCCCGGACCCACGATCGAGGCTGACTGGGGCGACTACATCATTGTCAACGTCTACAACGACATGCAAGACAACGGGTGAGAACGCTGGCTTCTCTTCTTACATCCCTTGATGCTAACCGCCCAGGACTTCAATCCATTGGCACGGCATCCGCCAGTTTGGCGAGAGCAACCAGGACGGAGCCAACGGCGTCACAGAATGCCCCATTCCGCCCGGCCACATGAAGCGGTACGACTTCCATGTCACTCAGTACGGGACGTCATGGTACCACAGCCACTACTCGGCCCAGTACGGCAACGGCGTCGTTGGCGCCCTCATCGTGCGCGGTCCGGCAAGCGCAAACTACGACATCGACCTTGGCCCGTACATGATCACCGACTACTATCACGAGACAGCTGACCGGCTCCATCTCAGGGCCGAGAAGGTCAGCAACGGGCCACCCCCTGATAGCGACAACGTTCTATTTCGGGGCAAGAACATCAACCCGCTCGGCCCGGGCGGTGCCTACGACCGCCTCACCCTGACCCCTGGCAAGAAGCACCTGATCCGACTTATCAACCCCAGCGTCGACAACTCCTTCACCGTCTCCCTCGTCGGCCACACCTTCACCGTCATCGCCACTGACCTGGTCCCCATCACGCCCGTTGTCCGCAGCAAGCTCTTCATGGGCGTCGGCCAACGCTACGATGTCATCGTCGAGGCCAACCAGCCTGTCGCCAACTACTGGTTCAACGCCACGCTCGAGGCCACCAACAGCTGCGGCCGCTCGCGCAACCCCTATCCGGCGGCGATCTGGTCCTACGCCGGCGCCAGCACCACAGCCCTCCCCACCAACCGCGGGACGCCCGTGACGGCCACATGCAACGGCGAGACGGGCTTCAGCCCCATCGTCAAGCGCACCCTCTCGGCCTCCCAGTTCCAGCTGAACCCCAACTCAACCCTCCCCGTCTCCCTCGCCTTCCCAACCCACCCCGACCGCGGCCAGGTCTTTGAGTGGCGCGTCAAGAACACGCCCATCAGCGTCGAGTGGGAGCACCCGGTGCTCGAGTACATCTTAGAGGGCAACTACTCGTTCCCCGCCGCCATCAATCTGGTCGACGTCCCGCAGGCCGACGTCTGGACGTTCTGGGTCATCCAAAACGGGTTCACGCTGCCTCACCCAATCCACCTGCACGGACACGACTTTTTGGTTCTTGGTATGGGCTCGGGGACGTTCAACGCCGCCACCATGACCAACCAGCTCAACTTCAACAACCCTGTCCGAAGGGATGTCGAGCAGATGCCCGGCGGCGGGTGGCTGGTGATTGCCTTCCGCACGGACAACCCGGGCTGCTGGTTGATGCATTGCCATATTGCGTGGCATGTGGGCATGGGCCTGGGAATTCAGTTCCTGGAGAGGAAGGCTGAGATCCCGGACCTGATGCATCTGGATCAGATGGTGCCCAACTGTGACGCGTGGAGGGCTTATTGGCCCACGAATCCGTATCGACCGCGGGTGGACTCGGGATTGAAGAAGAGAATGATGATGGAGGGCATGGGGGTGGCGCGGGAGACGTGGGAGCCGGCTGTGAGGAGGATTGGTTGAGGGATTTACTATGGGTGGTGATGGGCCTGTGGGGTAAAACGGAAGTTTACGACTACCACTGTGCTCGGTGTTGTGGTCCGAGTGTTGCCGAGACCGTTTGGAATATTAGGGGGCAGTGAGGTCCGCGTGGGAGGAACAAGTACGAGTTTGAATTCTCTGTCTCTGATACCTTACCAGGGCAACAAGCGACATTTGATCTTGAAGAGACGAACACTCGAGCAATGTCAGGGGTATATGAATCTCCCTCATAATGTCTTGGTATAAGAATTCAGGTATAAGTTCCGCGAGGCTCTGGAACAAGACCTAAGCGGATAGGGGTAGGGAGATCCGCAACGTCAGCCGCGGCCAGCGGGGAAGTCGGAGGTGTGCCGTCCCCCACGTTGGACTGTTGGCTGATTGGCAGACTGGTTCGACGGATGCCTAATGGAGTGAACGTTGACAGCATCTTATTATCCAACCCTGTTGCGTTATCGCTGGTCAACTTGGTAGAAAAACTAGACGTCGCTCTTTTTGATATGCAGGCGTTTGATCCTGTGTTTGCTTCCGTGCACCGCGTTACCAAGTTTCACGCCGCTCTGCTTGTTCATCAGCAGAAGTTTGAAATGACCACTTTCGTTCTCCAGTCTGCTACAGTTTGGGCTGCCTTGCTTCTGGGCCTAACGCACGCTGGGACGTACACCGGATACACGGCGACTGGGCTAATTCCGTTTTTCGAGGCTGGCGAGCCTGGTCTCGCATTTGGAGATGACGTGCACGTCAGGGCGTACTGATCTCCATCGGCGGCGAATCCGTTCCCTTGTACGTCGACACGGGCAGCTGCGGCATCATTATCTCGGCGCGCAACGTTTCGGGCTAGACCGGCACCCCCCGGACGGCGCAGAGGAAGGATGGCATTATCTATCTAGCAGCAAGATCCTCTATAACGGCTACTGGGTGACCAAAAACATCTACTTCAGGGATACGTACGATTATCCCGATACAGCTCCCGGCCCAAGACTCCCTCACTATATCAGAACAAGAGCCCCCATCCTCGTCGTGACCAGAAAGTACGTGTGCAAAGAGTACGACATTGACGTGGCGGGCAAGGATTGTCTCGGGGATCCATACTCGACGGAAGACAATCCCCGGGGCATCTTTATCCTCGGCTCGGGGTTCGGGCGCACGCACGACGGGCAGCCCCAAGGCACACCCAACAAAAACCCGCTGCTGCACGTTACCAGCTTCCGAGGGCGCACCAGGGCCGTTCCCCCATCCTCCACCGACAATTACTGGCCGGGCTACATCATCAGCAAGGAAGGGATCACAGTCGGCCTAACCGAGACGAACACGGCATCGATGAGCTTTGTGTAACGGTCCCAGGAGTATATTGCAACTAGCTGGTGACGACTCTACGAGTTTGCCTCGAATGGAGAGAGAAGAAGAAAAGAGAGAACTAGATGACAGGAAGAGAGGGCAGCTCTTATATGCTCCGGAACACATAGACACTGCCTGCCTCAGGATGACGTTATCATGATACCACGGCCGAGGGTTGCCGAGGCCATCATGGGCTCAGCCCATCACAGGCCCCACCCAAGGTCTGGTCAGCTCGCACATACAAGATCGATATTGCTACAACGAGAGCAAGAGCTAGATGACAGGAATGGGCGTGCCACCAGACCTTAAGTACTGGAGCAGAGGCCTATGCGTAAGCATGACCATAGACGTATGATCAGACCCCATGACGTATGCATAACCGCAAGCATATGACATAACCTTGAGAACAGGAACGGGGAATCCCGTGACACCTCTTTTCGTTTCAACTTGTCGTAGAGATCGCGAGTGTGCTTGCCAGGGAGTGCTACGTCCAGAGCCTTTGAGAATTTGCCTACGCTTTCGGGGAGAACTCTCCCCTGTCGTTGTTTGGCCAATGCCAACCTGATTGCGGTGGACTTGGCTTGGGGCATTTGGAGGGTGGGTATCTGTGACGAATCTCAAAGCCCCAACTTCTGAAAGGGACTCCTGAAGGTTATACTTGACAACGGGGTGAGGTTCGGTGAAGCCAAAGGGTTCACAACAAGCAATGTCCAAGGGTACTGACAATCCTGCACTTGAGTTGCTTACTGGAGAACTCCCAGAGTCCTCCAGAACGAGTGACTATATACTAGATGCATTTGGTTGCTCTCTCGTGCTCTCTAGAGCCACCTAGAGCCAATGCTCTATGGTGCTCTC